CTATGTGTTAACATGTCCTGAGGTTTTGCCCAAATTATAGGAACAGCATTTAAGCTACTTAAGAGTACCTTTCAAGTATCCTTTTATAAAGTATCCATTTATTTATAAACAATATGTTTTAGATAATTACTAAAATAGGACATATCTTATTTCTTTTTTTAAATTGTAAAATTTAAAATTTAGAGATTCAGACAGACTCCCACAATTGTTAATTCTATATTCTTAGCAAGCTATCCCATAACCTGTTTTTTCTTTAATAAAATCTAAAAACACAAAGGAGTGCAAGCCTCAGGTCATTAACAAAATTCTTGGCACTTGCTTTTGAAATGATGGTGGTAGAGGAGGAAAGCAAAAAAGAGAAGCAAGCTTTCAGGAAGATCTTCATTTGTGGTTAAAAAAATAATTGAGATCTGTTGATGGCACCAAAGTATTAGTGTGAGGTAGGAGGCATTTCTTCACCATTATCCTCTTTTGTCCATAGTTTTAATAAACATTCAAAGTATTTTACTGGCTAAGTTTCAGGAAATGAATATACCACTAAGTATGCTTGTGAATAAGTGAGTTAAAATATTAGTGCATTTGTTATCCCACTTCCAAACTCTGTGTAAAGGTTGTCCTTTCCCATTTCAGATGTTTAGAATAGGACATGGAAGGCAGCTGCTATTTGGAAACTTTGAGACTAAACTCTAAAATCATCTGTTTGTACATATCTAGTATTATAGGATATATACCCCAAATACATATACTTTTAGTTTCTTGGCTTCTTATTTTGACAACTTCATAGTAGGATGACTATATTAACCAAAGAAGAAAACGAGCTATTTGTTTATGAGATTTTCTGCTGAATTCATTTCTGCAGTGAATCTGTCTGGAATAAGAGAATATATAGGTCATAATTGATTTGAGAAACATTCTTAGGCGTCAATTTGATCTTAAGCTGAAAGTTTAGTTTTTAAAATATACACTACTTCACTGTTAAATAGCAGAACTTCAAAAGTGGTTATTGAAAACACCTTGATAGAATAGCACATTAAAAACAGGTAAAATCATCTAACACAAAGGTCAACAAACTTTTTATCTACAGAACCCAGCAGTAAATATTTTAGGCTTTGCATGCCATACGGTCTCTGTTGCAGAGATTCAGCTCTGCCATTGTAGTACAAAAGCAGCCAAAGATAATACATAAACAAGTGAGAATGACTGTGTTACCAAAAAAGCTTCATTTAGAAAAACAGATCAGGCACAGTGGCTCACACCTGTAATCCTAGTGCTTTGGGAAGCCCAGGTGGAAGGAATGCTTGAGGCCAGGCATTCAAGATCAGCCTGGGCAACACAGTGAGACTTCCTCTACAAAAACAAAACAAACAAAAAAGTAAAGCAGGCGGTGGACTGTTTGCTAATGAGTTTCAATTTTAAAATATGCCACATGTGGAAATTCTCTGTACTTTCTGCTCAGGTTTTCTGCAAACCTAAAACTGCTTTAAAAAATAAAATCTATTAAAGATATATATATACACACACATATATGTGTGTGTGTGTGTGTATATATATATACATACACACACACACATATATGTGTGTGTGTGTGTGTGTGTGTGTGTGTGTGTGTCAGTCACAGTCTGGACACAGTGGCACATGCCTGTAATCCTAACACTGTGGGAGGCCAAGACAGGAAGAGTACTTGAGGCCAGAATTTCAAGACCAGCCTGGGCAACATAGTGAGACCCATCTCTACTTAAAAAAAATAAAAATATGTTACAGAGGAAAATAAAATTTAGAATGAAGTGATGATCAAACCCTCCATGACAAATCATAGTTTTTATTGAGTGATAACTTCTGTTGCATAATTAAATCATAAATTACTGTCATGTATGCTTACAGAGGGCCTTCAATTATTCTGTCTTACAGGGATTCTTTTAAAATCTTACTTTGCTCATGGATAAAAACAAAAAAAATTGTGACATGCCATTATCACATTTGATGACATAAGCACCTAGAGTACTTTCTTCAAAATTTGGGAGGATTGTTGGAAAATTGCTGATTTAAATGATTTCCCTGGATGAACAGAAAATAAGTCCTGAAGAATTTTTAATTATGTTGCTATTCTCCTATCATTGATATAGTAATTACTTTGTTTGAATTTCCATTCTATAGTATTTCTTTTTCTCCTATTCTATGAATATACCATAGAATATGCTTATAATTTTAGTTAGAATATTTACAATAAACTCAAACGTGCCAAAAAGAAAAAAACAGCCCTATTAAAAAGTGGGCAAAATATATGAATAGACACGTCTCAAAAGAAGACATACCAGCAGGCAACAGGTACATGAAAAAATAACCTCTCTCACGACCATGAGATCAACCCCATGCACCACTCTGAGACCTGCAAAAAAAAGAAGAAAAAAAAAATTGCCTCACTAATCATCAAAGAAATGCAAATTAAAACCACGTTGAGATACCACTTAACTGCAGTCATTATGACCATCACCAGTAATTCAAAAAAGCAACAAATGCAGGAGAGGATGCTGGGGAAAGGGAACACTTCTATACTGTTGGAGGGAGTGTAAACTGGTACAACCACTGTGGAAAACAGTTTGGCAATTCATAAAAGATCTAAAAATCAACCTTCCATATGACCCCACAATCCCCCTTCTGGGAATATACCCAGAGGAACTCAAATCACTCTATAAAAAAGATACCTGCAGCTGGGCTCGGTGGCTCAGCCTGTAATCCCACACCTTTGGGAGGCTGAGGTGAATGGATTGCCTGAGCCCGCGAGTTCGAGACCTGCCTGGGCAGCAAGACCTCATCTCTACAGTAAATCAAAAAATCAGCCGGGTGTGGTAGCGCATGCCTGTAATTCCAGCTACTTGGAAGGCTGAGGCGGAAGGATCGCCGGAGCCCAGCAGGTCGAGGCTGCGGTGGCCGGGAGTGGCCACTGCACTCCAGTCTGGGCGACAGAGTGAGACTCCAACTCAAAAAAAAAAAAAAAAAAAGATACCTGCACATGCATGTTTATTGAAGCATTATTCACAATAGCAAAAACATGGAACCAACCATGCTACCCATTAAAAGAGGACTAGATTTTTTTTTAATGTGGTACATATAATGATGGAATATTACGCAGCCATAAAGAAAGACAAAATTATGAACTTCACAGCAACTTGGACAGACTTAGTGTCTATAATACTCAGTGATCTATAACAGAAACAAATAACTGATTACCACATGCTCTCACTCATAAACCGACCTTGAACGATTATCATAATACTATAAAAAATGGATTGGGCCACGCGCAGTGGCTCATGCCTATAATTCCAGCACTTTGAGAGACGGAGGCAAGAGGATTGCCTGAGCTCAGGGGTTTGAGACCAGCCTGAGCATCATGGTGAGGCCTTGTCTCAACAAGAAATTAAAAAATTTCTAGCGTGGTGGCACGTGCCTGTAGTTCCAGCCGCTTAAAAGGCTGAGGCAGAAGGATCACCTGAGCCCAGCAGGTAGAGGCTTCGGTGGCCATGAGCATGCCACTGCACTCCAGCCTGGGCAACAGAGTGAGACTCCACCTCAAAAAAAATAAAAGTACATGAAACAGAGATGTCCAGTTTAACAAATTATTATAAAATTGCCAGAGGAGAGAGAAGAGGCACATCTCATCAACAAGGGAACCTGCATAAGGACCATTTGTACACCTAAACCTGAATAGTACCCCACATCTTTAAAAGGGAAAAAAAGAATATTTACAATCATTGACTATAATATCCATGTAACTCATCTGACAACGTATTTGAAAAATTAATTTAGACAAATGTGTTATTATATATGAATTAATTTCAATAGATTTTCTGGCATTTACAGCTTAAATATGACTATAATTTGTATATTTACATTTAACTTTTTTATTGTGAAAGGTACCACATAGAAAAGTACATAGGCTGGGCACAGTGGCTTACACATGTAATCCCAGCACTCTGAGAGATGGAGACAAGAGGATTGCCTGAGCCTGCGAGTTCGAGACCAGCCTGGGCAACATGGCAGGACTTCGTCTCTACGATAACTCAAAAAATTAGCTGGGTGTGGTGGTGCACACCTGTAGTTCCAGCTACTTGGAAGTCTGAGGTGGAAGGATCGCCTGAACCCAGCAGGTTGAGGCTGCTGTGGCCATGAAGAGAGTGCCATTGTACTCTAACCTGGGCAACAAAGTGAGACACTGACTCAAAAAAAAGAAAAGTACATAAAATGGAGATGTCCAATTTAAAAAATTATTATAAGGCAAACATCAGTGGAACTAACATAGCAGGTCAAGAAATAAAGCGTTGCCTGTACCCCAAGAAACTCATTATATGCCCCTCTCCAACTGTAACTCCTTCTCTTTCTAACCCCTAGGGGTAACCATAATCCTGATCTTTACAGTATCAATTTCTTTATTTGTCTTCATAGTTTTATCACCTAAGTGTGCAGATTTAAACAATATAATTTTGCCTGTCTTTAAACTGTGCGTTAGATTCTTATGTGTACATATTTCAGTGTATGAATAATATTTAAATGTACTCATTTTAGGCATTCAGCAATAAAATTGGCAAAGGTAGACTAAAGAATGGAACACTGAACTGTGTTCAAGCCTATAAAATTGCTCTTTGAATTACCTGTCACATGTACGGGGCCTCTTCCTGCTCTTTAACTTCATTTTCTACGATACAGGACGCTGTTGCTGGAGCCTGATGACAGTTATGACGGGTGGTAAAAGGCATAGCACTTCACTTTAAAAACAGGTTTCTCAATATCTCTTAAGACCTTATGTCACCCTGTACGTTTTATGGTGATAGGATTGATTTTCTATATTTTATAAACATTATTTATAAAGATTCTAATAAATGTGAATGTTAGTATGTACATAGTAGATACATATATACATATAAATACTTGTGTTTCTGACTGCAAGAAATACTTCAATCACCTAAAACATTTGATTTTTATAGAAATAATACTTTGTTTTTCAGGTGAAACTTCCACCAATGATGGAAATCATAACTGCTGAGCAACTAATGGAATATTTAGGTTAGTGTTGAAAAGTGGATGTTTTATATTTCTTGTGAAATAAAGTTTTCAAAGCTGTTATATTACCCAGTCTCACATTTCTGAAGTACTGTTATATATTCTGTTTTAAAATTATAGTTTTGAATCTGTCAAATAGAAGTTTTTAAGAGTATGTTACTATTTTAGGATGTTATAGTCTGCTTTCTGACCAGCATTAAAGTTCTGTAATATAAATAAGGAGACTGAGTGACATCTAGAGAACAAGATACATATCCATTCCAGATCATTGCAGAATGGAAGATAGCACAGAATCTCTGACATTGCTTATAGAAGGTGTTAAAAAATATTGGGTAGGTTTGAATAAAAGACAAGGGAGATGATTTAGATTAGTGCCCCCCAAAGGATGATTCATGGACCTCTGCCAATCTATGAAATGTTAGTTATCTGTCTACAATAAATAGAAGCTTTTGCTAGGATATAAAATATTTACATTAGTAAATTTAATTATTTACTAAATAATTATTTACTAAATAATTATTTAATTATTTAGTTCATCTGAAATTTTTTTTATAGGAAAATTTTCTTGATGAAGGAAACAGAGTATTGAATTGCATTCCTGCGTAAGTTTCTTATTTCAAAACAGACCAGGAATACAGTTAGTAAACTGGCCACATAGAGTTGAACTCATTTTAGAAAGCAGACAGTTATATATCCCGTTGGGGTGTTTTTATAATTTGGCAAATAAGAATGTATATATTTGTGCCATTACCAAATAGGAAATCTTAATCTTTATTATTACAGTTTTTTTGGTAACTAAATTTTTATTTTAAAAAAGTTTGTCAACGGATCAATTTGTCTTGTCCTTTCAGACAAGTTGCTAACTGATTTTTTGTGAGATAAGGCTTGGTAAAGTAATTGAAACTGCAGCTTTTGGAAGACCTTTTTTTTTTTCCTGTTAAATTGATAACAAAGCAAAACTTTTTTTGGACAAGACAAAAACACATCTCCATACTGTTTCCTTTTATACAGAAAGTGGAGACCTTAAATGCAGATAACTTTTGAGAAGTTTAGCTGCAAATGAATGTGAAAAGTGGGTGAGGAGTAGTAAGAAAAGACTTAATAGAGAATATGTAACTTGTATTGGGCTTTGAGCTGTAGTTACTGTCTACACTGTTGTAAAGAAGTAGAGAGATTATTACAAGGTAGGTGAAACTATTTCAAACTCAAGCTAGAGGAAGAAATATGGTAGACACTGAAGGAACAGTGAGTGAGTCCAAGTTGACTATAATTGGCAAGTCTGCATGTTGTATAATTATAGGAATAAAGATTAGATTAGGTAGGTTGTGGCTAAGTCTTGTGAACTATGCAGGGAGTTTGGATTTATTGTAGTAGGATGCTTAATCCATTGTAGTTTCTTTAGTGGGGTCATAATATGTTAAATGTAGTTTTTAAGACGGTCTGTTGAGACCAATTAGGAAATGGTAACAGTAGTCCAGATATGGTACTGATTCAACAGATATTTGAGTGCCTAATATATATGATTTGAGTAATGAAGACATATATTTCTGATTCCAGTTTCCTGTCCAGCTCTTCCAAAGCTATCCACTTTCAGCTTTCTTTGTTCTCAGATCATGACCTTAAATCAACTAAACCTGTACTGAGTAAATATAGTAGCCACTAGACACATATGGCTATTGTGTACTTGAAGTGTAGCCAGTGTGAATTGAGATGTCTTGTAAATGTAAAATATACACTGAATTTAAAGATTTAGCTAAAATAATTTCAGTAATTTTAAAATATTGTTTGTATGTAGAAATAATATTTTAATATGCTAGGTTAAATAAAATATTAAAATTAATTTTATCTGTTTATTTTACCTTTTGTAATGTGACTGCTAGAAAATTTTAAATTACACATGGGCTCACATCTGTGGCTTGCATTATATTTCTATTGGTTGGTGCTAAACTAAACTATGCTGCCACTCCATAGCTTTCATCTTCATTCTAGCTCTGCGCTATGTGCTATCGCAAGTTGATGCCATTTACTTCGCTTCCTCCCTGCTAGTTATTACTTGCCTTTGTCTGCATACCTTCTGAGACAAAGAGCTTTTTTGCCATCAGTCCCATAAATGAAGAACACCACTGTGGTAGTAAAGAACCAATGAACAGAGCCATAAGTGTGGAGGTGCTAATAGTAGGAAAGGGTGAAACTGGTGCAAAAATAAAAGTGTCACAAAATTGCAGTGCTTCTCTATCTTACAGATGAGGAAACCAAAACTCAGGAAGGTTAAATACTGTATTGTCTCTATCTGGGTACCTTATATATTTAAGGAATGCTGAAAAGCTCATACACTCAAAAGTATATCCCTCTTCCTTCTCTATCACCTGAAAGTATTTTTGATAAGAGTATTTGAAATGCCTTCTACTTGTCTCTTTCTTCCTTTTCTTTCTTTCTTTTTTAATCCAGTAAATATTTACTGAGCATTTTGTGTGGACAAGTTCTTTGGAGATGTCAACAATGTTGTCACTGTGGCTGCACAAGTGTACTCTACCATGAAAATGTCAGCATGGTATTTTTCTTATACAGAGTAATATAAGAAATAATTAACATATCTTGGTATATTCAATTTATCTATCAGTCTGAGGAAGCAAAACATAGGATAGAGAATTTTGATAGGGAAAAAGAAAAATTGTTTAAGAACTATCAAGATCTAGGGTAGCTAAAGAGGTTCAGGAATTATGGATGAGAGGATTCAGCTACTGGGGACAGCATAAAAGTAATACGATCTTGAGAGGTAGGGGAGGAGTGAGTAAGAGTGATGTGAGAAAAAAACAAACAGAGTGTAGTGAGCAAAGATTCTGGAGACTCTGTCTCACCAAAAGTAAACTTTATTCAGGGCCAATCCTACCAGAATAAATTGCTTGATTTTTTAAAGTCATTTGGATTTTCTCCTCTCAGGATTACTTCAGTTCTCTGGAGAAACCAGATGTTGTTGAGTTAATAAGCAAACACTAGTAGAAGAACTATAAGAGAAACTATTAATTGTTTTCCTAATACCTTGCAGAGGTACCCCAAGGGAATGGGAATGGGAATTTTTATTAGCAAAGGTTATAGAAGTGGCGTAGAGAAAGGAACATGAAAAGTTAAGATTCCTAGGAAGTGCTAGGAGATCTGGTAAGATGGGGAAGAGGTGTAGGCAGAAGTTGGGAAATGAGTAGAGATGTGAAGTAAAAAAGCTGTGCTTAAACTGGAATTTATGCTATAACTTGAGATATCCAAAATTTGTGTGGTGAGACTAGCTTAATATTAAAGTAAGGAAAATAGTTAGGATGGTGGGATTGTCTGACTTTTTAAAAAATTATCTTTTGAATATAAATATACTGTAAAGAGAGGTTAATGTTGAAGCATTTTGATCTTGCCCAGAGTTTTGTTTTGTTTTGTTTTTGAGTTGGAGTCTCACTCTATTGCCTAGGCTGGAGGGCAGTGGCATGCTCACAGCCACCACAGCCTCGACCAGCTGGGCTCAGGCAATCCTTCCACCTCAGCCTTCTAGGTACAGGCATGTGCCACCATGCCCTCCTAATTTTTTGATTTATTGTGGAGATGAGGGCTCACCAAGTTGCCCAGGCTGGTCTTGAACCCAGAGCTCAGGCAATCCTCTGCTGTAATTATAGGCATGAGCCAGTGCACCCAGCCTTGCCCAGAGTTGATTGTGTTTTCTTTTCTCCAAATGTTCACCTGGCGTAAGCTTACTACTGCCAGATCCTCTCTATTTTTTGCCTAATGCAACCATAATGTCTTTGTTTCTTGATTTCTGTTTGGAGTATCCCGTTAGTAGCAAGGTCTTATGATTCTTTCCTTGAAATTATTTTTTCTTTCTGTATACTGATACTTCACAACCCAGTTGATTGTAAACTCTGTCGTTCCTCTACTCTCCAAATTAGCCTACATACTAGTATACATTTACTAAAGCATCAATTTTACCCTTCACTCCTCTACTTAAAATTGTAAAGATCCCTATGATTTTTTACAAGCAGCCAAATTTATCAGTATATTATTTAGAATTTGTCTGCAATCTGATTGTTTCCTCATTCAGCCACATTTCCTACCACTTTGCAATATAAATCTTATGTCAATCTTATAAGCTGTCTATATGACAGGATCTTTCTTATATGTGTTTTTTCTCCTATTGCCTTTCCATGCTCTGCTCATTTTTTAGCATCCAGTTTAGGTACTCTCCCTTCCAAAGGATATTTCTAAGCTTTATTGGCTTTATCAATATCTCTTTTTAAAATAATTTGGGGCTAGATGCAGTGCACATACCTGTAATCCCAGCACTTTGGGAGGCCAGGGTGGGAGGATCACTTGAGACCTGGAGTTGGAAACCAGCCTAGGCAACATAGTGAGACTCCATCTCTACAGAAATAAGTAAAATAATTTGATAGATAAGGCATTTATTACATTTTATGCTATATTATACTTTATCTTATTCTGTTTCCTATATGTTCTTTGCTCAATCAAATTATTGGTTTTTTAAGAGGAACATTCACATTCTGATACTTATTTTAACTCATTGCTAAGCACATAGCATATTCTCAATAAGTACTTTTTGATTGAAATAGTATTTTGACTGACCAATTGCAAATACAAAGGTTACATAAGCTACACAAAACAACACTCTTAAGAGATGATTTTTTTATATATCTATAATTGAATGATGCTTCCTTAGAAACTCAAACTCAGCTATTTAAAAATATCTGATTCTTTTGTTACAAACTCTCATAAAAATATACCTGGTTCTACTTTTTATACATCTGTATTAGTTATCTAATGCTATGCAATAATTCACCCCAAATTTAGTAGCTTAAAACAATAAACATTTATTATCTCATAGTGTCTATAGGTCAAGAATCTGGATGTGACTTAGTTGGGTGACCCTATCACAAGATCTCTCATGAGATTGTAGTCAGAGTAACGACTGGGACTGCAGTCTCATCTGAAAGTCAAACTTGGGAGAATCTGCTTCCCAGTTTCCTCACATGGTTGTTGGCAAGATTCAGTTCCTTACAGGTTGTTGGACTGAGGGCCTCAGCTCCTTGCTGACTGTTGGCTGAAGGCCTCCTTCAGTTCCTTGCCATAAGCTCAAAACATGGTAGCCGGCTGTCTTCAGAGTGAGCAACTGAGAATGCACCACAACAAAAGCCATAATATTTTATATGCTGAATTTACAAGTAACAGCTCATTACTTCTGTCACATTTTATTAATTAGATGTGAGTCAGTAAGTCCTATCTATACTCAAGGGAAGGAGATTATACTAAAGTGTGACTATCAGGAGGGTGAATGAAGGTCATTGAGGTCCACCTTAGAGGCTGTTCATCCCGTCTCTTCTCTTACCCAGAGATCTTTCTGGCTTCAGGAAAAGAGGAGTTGCTTATCTGAGTCTTTCCCAGTAATCATTCTATTCTTAATACCTAAGTTTTAGTCTATGGTACCATATTCAGTATCATTTACTATTATATAATGCTCTGCATCCTGACCCAACTAAAATTAGGAAAGCATATGTAGTCTTTCGTCAAAATAAATATGAACTTAAGTGAAATAAAGGATTCACATGTAGTACTTATGTTCTCAATTATTTAACTAAATAATATATAGTATTTACTCAAAATAAAGCATAGTTTTCAGTTAAATGTTGTATCAAAATCTCAATATATAAATATACAATGTGCCACATATACTAAGGACTCAAAAAATAATTATTAAACTGACTTGCTTATACATTTCCATGAATCAATTAATATAGTGCTTTTGGAGTTCTTATACCTATGTGGAATAGTCATTTCTCATCAGATTCTTGTTATCTTAAAGTTCAAATTAAAAGCAATAATAATAATGTATTGTTCACAGGAATTCTTTTGTTATCATAGTTGGAAACTCTAAGAAGACACTTGATAGAGTCTTTTAAAGTTTATTTAGAATTAGAAAATAAGGTTATATTAAAGCAATTTCATCAACTTATTAGCAATTTGGGACATTAAATGAGAAGCTGGTTCCATATATCACTATGTATCGAGATAAATTCCAGGTAAATGAAAGATTTAAACATTTTAAAAAGTAAACATAAAATTACATGAAGAAAGCATATGTGAATATTTGTATACTCTTAAGAGGTGAAGATCTTTCTAAACATGACATCCCATCCAGAACTGTAATAGAAGAATTTGACTACATTAAAATTAAATATTTCTGTACAGCAAAAAATAGATTAAGAAACACCACCCAGGCCAGGCTCGGTGGCTCAGCCTATGTCCCAGCACTTTGGGAGGCCGAGGCGAGTGGATTGCCTGAACCTGCAGGTTCAAGACCAAGCTGGGCATCTTGGTGAGACCTCGTCTCTACAATAAATCAAAAATTAACTGGGCATGGTAGCACATGCCTGTAGTTCCAGCTATTTGGAAGGCTAAGGTAGAAGGATCGCTGGAGCCCATCAGGTCGATGCTGGGGTGGCTATGAGTGTACCACTGCACTCCAGCCTGGGCAATGGAGTGAGACTCCAACTCAAAAACAAAACAAAACCAAAAAAAGCCACCCTAAGAAGCCAATTTGGAAAAAGTAATACTGACCACACGTATAACAGGAAACATGCCAATTCCCCTAATTGAAAAAGAGCTTTTACAGTTCAGTAAGGAAAGATAATAAGTATATAGGTCGATAATTCAGAGAAAAAGAAGTATATGCAGTTAATATATAATCTAAAAGACACACAGATTTAAAAGGTACTGTATATATTTTAGTGGTGGTCCATATTTTTTTTTTTTATTTGAGTTGAGAGTTTCACTATGCTGCCAAGGCTGGTCTTAAACCCCTGGGCTCAAGCAATCCTCCCGCCTCAGCCTCCCAAGTAGTTGGGACTACAGGCACATGCCATTGCATCCAGCATACTCCATATTTTTAAAAGGTGCCTCATATATTTGGAAGTTGCCACATATACAAAAACATTATACATAAATTAGTGATACCAAATAAAAATTAATATATAGAAATATCAGTTTTTTCAATACAAAAAAATGTTCATTTACTTTTCAGAATTGCAAACAGTTAGAAGGTTAATACTCATAGTTATATTGTTGACACCCATGATATTTGGTACAGTCTTTGGGAGCTTTATATGCAGTAACATGGAAAGATGCTCAAGTATACTGTTAAATGAAAGAAATAAAAAAGTTCAAAAGCATTATACTGTATATACTGAAAAATTTTGTGAGTTGATAGCAAACAACTAGTATTGATTTTCTCTGGGTAGAATTAGGGGGTCAACTGTATATGTCATGTCTTGCTACAATGTTTCAAAATTTATAATTAAGATCTATTTTGTAATTAGAAAAAAAGTAATATTTTAAAAAGGCAATTTCACAATTTCTTTTTCAGGAGATTACATGCTTGATGCAAAGCCAAAAGAAATTTCAGAAATTCAACGTTTAAATTATGAACAGGTAATGAGCACAATTTTTGTTATCTTAAAATATATAATTTTTAAGTTATGAATATATACATTGGTTCTACCAGTAGCTGGTAACCTTTTTTTATAGAAGATTAGATAGTAAATATCTTAGGCTTTGCAGGCCATATGGGTCAGTCTCTAGTGCATATTCTTTCTCTTTTTTAGAATGATAACCTGATGTTTTTCTTTTCTAATCTCATATAGGTTAAATCTGGTATTTTTCTTGAAAAATTGGCATTGAAGGGAATTTGTCATTGATTCATCTTTTCTCATTTTATTTATATCATACAGTTAAGTTATATTTAGGAGAAAGTTGAGCAAATGAAGTCTAGGGTATGTCATTACGATAGTTTCTATTGTTTTATAGTTTCAGGATATCTGCATTTCTTGGCATGTTCTTTAGAGATCCTGTTCTGCAATGTAGGAGGGGTCACTAGGCTCAAAATTATTGGAGCTGGAAGAAAGCAAGCAGAGCTTCATTTTTTTCAGTATTCTTCTTTTATTTGGCAGTAGAAGGCAAGAAAGAATTAGCTTCTTAGAATGGGAGGAAGTATCAGCCAGGGAAGAAATAAGTATCATTGGAACCTTCACATATGCTCTCAAAGCAACCTTTTTAGCATCCTCTCATATGCAAGAATGAAGCATAACTTGAAGAATGAAGCATAGATTTTTTGAATTTGAATGTTCACATAATCTAGTCCTAAAAGAATTTAAAAACTAACGTCTTGCATTGCATCATATTATAAGGTAGGAAATCTACAGCTAAAGCCAAATTTGTCGTTTAAATTTTATTGGGGGAATTTGTGTCTTTTTTTTTTTTTTTTGAGTCAGAATCTCACTGTCGCCCAGGCTAGAGTACAGTGGCACTCTCACGGCCACCACAGCCTCAACCTGCTGGACTCAGACGATCCTTCCACCTCAACCTTCCAAGTTAGCTGGAATCACAGGCATGCACCACTGCACATGAATAATTTTTTTTATTTATTGTAGAGATAAGATCTCGCCAATTTGCCCAGGCTGGTCTTGAATCCCTGGGCTCAGGCAATCCTCTCGCCTCGGCCTCCCAAAGTGCTGGTATAACAAGCGTGAGCCACTGCACCCAGCTGAAATTTGTATCTTAAAGCAGTGATTTTCAAACATTTTTAGCAATAGAAACCTCTTTTCAAATAAAATCTTATCCCAACTTCCAATATCCCAATATCCCACCAGTACATGTTATCTTTTAAGTATAAAGTGATATGATCCAATTCTATATCATTTATGTATTAAATTTATATCATTTTTAAATTGAAGTCGTGAGACTGTTTTGATTAATACCAAAACTTTTCTTTTTTTTGAGTCAGAGTCTCACTTAGTCACCCAAGCTGGAGTGTAGTGGCACTCCATGGCCACTGCAGCCTGGGTCTGCTGATCTTAGGCAATCTTTCTACCTCAGCCTTCCAAATAGCTGGAACCACAGGCATGTGCCCCCACACCCGGCTTAATTTTTTATTTATTGTAGAGATGAAGTCTTGCCAAGTTGCCCAGTGTCTCGAACCCCTGGATTCAGACACTCCTCTTATCTCCACCTCCCAAAGTGCAATTCCAACTAAAAAAAAAAGAAGAAGAAATTACTCCCAAAGGTTGGGATTACAGGCATGAACCACCACACCTGGTAATACCAAAACTTAGAGTTAGAGATTATGGCTGATAGTTACAGTTTCTGTCAGCCTCCAAATTTATTTTACTCTGTTGCATAGTCCTGAAAAAAATCTTGATTGAAAGTATTTGTAAATGATATAAGCATTTTGTTTGTTTGTCTCAAGTTCCTCTTAGGGTCTCATGATACATTTTCATTAAGCTGCTTTAGACTCTTGAATGATTGGAAGTATTGTTTCAAAGTTGAGAAAATGATATCTCACTACTGCATGCATTTCTCATGAATATACCTTGCATTTAAAATAAGCACTAAAACCGTAAGATGCTATTCCATTAACATTAGTTTTGAAAGTAGTACGTACTGAGTTATGAAAGTAGTAGGGGCTGAGTCTAAACTAGTGTTTAATGCTCCATAGTTGTGATATAATAGTGTTCTTTTTTTTTCTTATTTAATTGGAGTCTCATTCCGTCACCCAGGCTGGAGTGCAGTGGCACACTCACGGCCACCCCAGCATCAACCTGCTGGCTCTTGGTGATCCTTCTGCCTCAGCCTTCCAAGTAGCTGGAACGATAAACACGTGCTACCATGCCCAGCTAATTTTTTTTATTTATTGTAGAGATGAGGTCTCCCCAAGTTGCCCAGGCTGTTCTCAAACCCGTGGGCTCAGGCAGCCCCTCATCTTAGCCTCCCAAAGTGCTGGGATTACAGGTTCGAGCCACCATGCCTGGCCAGTGTTCTTTTTTTGTATCATCTTATGTAAGCGAGGTGTTTAAACCTAAGTTTTAGAAAGACAACGCACAGCTGCTTATTCCCAATGGAAACCTTTTTACCAGAAGTTGTAATGTAAACAAAGCATATTTTTTGCCTCATAGTAAATACCCTAACAGCACAAGAAGGCATGATGTATATATGTTCAGAATAGGTTTTTAAATGACTACAAATATATTTATTTATATATTTTATTTATGCATTTATGTATGTATGTATGTATTTAAAGTCAGGGTCTCACTCTCACCCAGGCTAGAGAGCAGTGGCACAGTCATAGCCACTTCAACCTCGACCTTCAGGCCTCAGGTGATTCTACCACCTCAGCCTCTTGGGTAACTGGGACTAGGTATACGCCACCACATCTGGCTAATTTTTTTTTTTTTGAGACAAAGTTTTGCTATGTTGTTGCCTAGGCTTGTCTCAAACTCCTGGACACAGGCAATTCTCTCGCCTCAGCCTCCCAAGGTGCTAGGATTACAGATGTGTGCCACTGCCCCCATATCTGGCCTGGTTTAAAAATATAATTTATATTTAAATTTAAAATATTTCACCGTGTTAAAAGTACCTTTGAGAAGAATCCTAAGAAACAGTTTAACCACTGCCTTAAAGGATAATAGTAATCCTTTCTTATGATGTAAGCAGCCATTCTTCACATTTATATTTTGTAGTATTAAGTATCATAATTTGGAATTCGAAACAATGTGGCAAAATACCCCTTTAAGCCTTTTGTTTATAAATTAGTTTCTATTTTATTAATTTTATTAACTTTTTTTTTTTTGTAAGAGAAGAGGTCTCACTATGTTGCCCAGGCTGATCTCAAACTCTTGACTTTAAATGATCCTCCCACCTTGGCCTCCTAAAGTGCTAGGATTACAGTTGTGAGCCACTGCACTTGGCCAGTTTTATTAATCCTTATGGAGATTACCAAATGGTGTTAATTTAGTTATTTTAATGCTAAATAATGTATAATAAATTCAGCAAGTATGTGAAGGTGTAAGCAATGGGCCTGAAGCCATTAAAAATCATATTGCCCTTGTCATATTGCCCTTGGTGACTTACACCCTGTAATCCCAGTACTTTGGGAGGTCGAGGCAAGAGGATTGCCTGAGCCCAGGAGCTGAAGACTAGTCTGGGCAGCATGACAAGACCTCGTCCCCTTAATATGTCAAAAAATTAGCTAGGCATGGTGGCATGCACCTGTAGTCCTAGCTACTTGGAACTTGAGGCAGAAGGATCACCTGAGTGTCCAGTAGGTTGAAGCTGTGGTAGCCATGATTGTGTCACTGCACTCTAACCTGGGCAACAGAATGTAATTCCAACTAAAAAAAAAAAAAGAAAAAATTATATTGCTCCTAAAGGAAGTTGGGTGGTTGTTGGCAACCAATAATTTAACAAAAATAGAAGAAAATAATGATGGTAGTAGAACTGTAATACTTAGATTGCTCACTGTTGTTACCATTTTCTCAGATTCATGCTTGTTGTGACTTTAGAAAAAGTTCTAAAACACAAGAGAAAAAAATAAATGTGAGCTGATTATTTCCAGAGATTCAACTTTTGGGAAAGTTTAGAAAATATATTGTTTTGGGCAAACATATATTAGGAAGAGCTGAAACTGACAAAGGCCAAAGACTGTGCAGAATAACATTATCCTATTATAACTGCATTATTCATGAATTTAAAACTTGTGAATTGGGCCAGGCGCAGTGGCTCATGCTTGTAATTCCAGCACTTTGGGAGACCAAAGTGAGAGGATTGCCTAGGTCCAGGGGTTCGAGACAAGCCTGGGCAACTTTGCAAGACCTTGCTTGTCTCAACAATAAATCAAAAAATTATTCAGGTGTGGTGGCACATGCCTGTAGTTCCAGCTACTTGGGAGGCTGAGGTGGAAGGATCACCTGAACCCAGCAGGTTGAAGCTGTGGTGGCCGTGAGCATGCCACTGCACTTCAGCCTGGGTGACAGATTGTGACTCCGACTCAAAAGAAAAAAAAATTGAATAATTTGTTTGTAGTCTGTACAATCTCTTAGAATATAATTTTATAAGTTATTTAGTAAAGCAAAGTTTTGTTTTTATGACCTGCATTGGTCTTTTTCAAATTCAAAGAGAGTCCCTAGTTTTGATGTAAGAAGATTTATTTAATGTTCTCCCTTTTTAAGCTTCTCTAATAGACTACAGTATACTGTTTCTATTTTATATCTTTAGTACCTAGTACAGTGTCTGAGTGTCTGATTAACAGTAGAGATTCAGTAAAAGTTTATTAAAAGTATATGTACTGGTTTTGATTTATTCTATCAAATATATCCTTTTAAAACTATTTATTTCAGACTTATATGACCACATTTACTGATAAAACTGATGTGACCAAAATGACTCCTTAATTTGGCCAACAAGTCTTTGTGATCTAGTCGCTGCCTTTCTCTGAGACTTCATCTCCTATAACTTCATTTATTTTTTTGTAGCCATTCTGGACTTCTTGTTGTTCAAAGCACACAGTAGTAAATTCATTTCTTCATCAGGATTTTTACTCTAGTGTCTACTTTGTCTGGAATGCTCTTCCCTCAGAGCTTCCCAAGACTCAGTACTTAACTTTGGTCTCTATTTAAGTGTTTTTTGAAGAGGTCTTTCCTTCCTTCCTTTCTCCCTCTCTTTCTCCCTCACTCCCTTACTTTTAGCAGTTTTAGGTTCAATGCATTGAGTGTGGAAGGTACAGAGAATTTCCATACACCTCCTGTTCCTCCTCACCCCATATGAACAGCTTCCCCAACTGTCAATGTCCTGCACAAGAGTGGTACATTTGTTATACTGATAAACCTACAATGATACATGATTATCGCCCACATTCTATAATTACTCACTCTTGGTGTTGTATATTCTGTGGATTTTGACAAATGTATAATGACATGTATTCACTATTACAGTATCATGCAAAATAGTTTCACAGTCCTAAAAGTCCTCTGTGTTCTATTCATCCTTCCCTCCCCCAATCCCTGGCAACCACTGATTTTTTTTTACTGTCTGAATAGTTTTTCTTTTTCAAGAATGTGATTTGGAATTATATAATATTTAACCTTTTCAGATTGGTTTCTTTCTTGTTGGACTTGTTGGACTTCCTGTTGTTCGAAGGACACAGTAATAAATGTAATATGCATTTAAGTTTCCTTTGTGACTTTTCATGGCTTGATAGCTCATTTCTATTTAAATTATGGTAAAAACCACATAGTATAAAACTTATCCTCTTAGCTGTATTTCTTTATTTAATTAATTATTTTGTTTACTAATTTATTTTGAGTTGGGATCTCACGCTAGCACCTAGGCTGGAGTGCAGTGACATGATCACGATGATCACGGCTCATGGCAGCCTCAACATACTGGGCTCAGGTGATCTTTTTCACCTTAACATCCCAAGTAGCTGGGACTATAGGTGCAGCCCACCATGGCTGGCTAATTTTTTAAATATTTGTAAAGAAAGGGTTTTGCTATGTTGCCTAGTCTTGTCTCAAATTCCTGTGCTTAAGCAATCCTCCCACCTTGGCCTCCCAAAGTGCTGGGATTACAGGCATGAGCCACCACACTCAGCCTGTTTTTAAGCATACAGTTCAGTAGTATTAACTATATTCACAGTGTAGCAGATCCCTAGAACTTTCTCATCTTGTAAAACTGAAATGCATTGAATAGCTCTCCGTTTCCTGCTGCCCACTGCCCCTGGAAGCTACCATGCTACTTTCTGTTTTTATGATTTTGAATACTCTAATTATCTCAAATAAGTGGAATCATACAGTATTTGTACTTTTGTGACTTGCTTATTTCACACATTATAATGTCCTCAAGACTCATCCATGTTGTAGCATGTGACAGAATTTCTTTCTTTTTTTTAAAGCTGAATAATATTCCATTGTGTGCATATACCACATTTTCTTTATCCTTCCATCTATCAGTAGACATTTGAGCTGTTTCCATCTCTTGACTATTGTCAGTAATGTTGCAATGAACATGAGTGTGCAAATATCTTTTTAAGATCCTGCTTTCAATTCTTTTTAATTTAGAAGTGATGAGGCCTTCCTCTTTGACTTCAGAACCATTTGACTTTAGACTTCTTAGTCTAAAATAGTTCCTTTATCCCTACATTCTGACCTCATCCTGCTCAATTTTTCTTACTATTACTTAACATTGTCATATATGTGTTTATCTCTCTAAGTAGAATGTTAGTTGCATGAGTGCAAAAACTTTTTTTTATTCACTCTTATATTTTTAGAACTCCAATTAGTGTTTGCACATAATCAGTACTTAATAAAGATTTGTTGAAGAGATGAATTGGGTAAAATAGAAGAGTAAAAGTAAATGTGTTTGTATTTAAGTATCTTTTTTGTTCCTGTCTTGATTTTTCTGAACTATACTTTTCCCCTTTCTATTTTCAGAATATGAGTGATGCTATGGCAATTTTACACAAGCTACAGACAGGCCTGGATGTAAATGTAAGATTCACTGGTGTTCGAGTGTTTGAATATACACCAGAATGCATAGTATTTGATCTTCTTGATATTCCTTTGTACCATGGGTGGTTAGTAGACCCTCAGGTAAGTAGAAGAATTTAAATTATATAAACACAAATGCAGGAAAGATATATAAATTAGCAAATTAATCTAAATTTACATTTTCTGATATTTATATTTTTGTGCTTTCACCTGTCATTAACCAAGCTATGAGGTTAAGGGCACAGTGCTCCAGATTGCCAAGTCTGCCCAAGTCTTCTGACTCCAGCAGCAAAGAGTTAGGACCCAACTACAAAGTTAGAGGGAAGAGTTCATACAAGACTACCCATACTTCTCACACCAACTGCAGGTTCATAGGTTTTCTAAGAGTACCCTCAGGTTCAGTAATTCCCTGGAACAACTCACAGAACTCACTGAAACCTATTGTACTTCACATTATAATTTATTACTGGGCAAAGATATAGATTAAAATTAGCCAAGGAAAGAGACACATAGGACAGAGCCTAGGAGAGTTCCAAATGTGAAGCTTTCCTTGTCCTCAGGACATACTTCCCTTCTGGAATTAATGTATTACAGTGTGTATGGAGTATTGCCAATCCTGGAAGCTCACCCAACCTTCAGTGTTCAGATTTTTAACTGAGATTTCATTATGTAGGTAGATTGAATGATTGATTGCCCGTGTAGTTGAACTCAGCCCTTCCCTTCTTAGAAACTGAGCTGGCACCATGTAATTCAAGGGACCCACCATGAGTCACCTTGTTAGTATTAACTACTGACAAGGGACCTACCATAAATAACAAAGTCCCTCCTATTCCTAGGGAAATGCCAAAGTTTAGAGGTTATCTCATAGGAGCTGTGACAAAGGCTAGACCTCTCTTTGGGCAAGGCCAAATTCTTTTTTTTGGCCAAATTCTTTATTGCACAGCTTTGAAAAGACATTTTGTATTACTCTAATATTTTTTTAAACAGCACCCCCATATTCTCATCACTCAAACTGTACATTTCTAAATATATAGTGACCCTTAGTATACTAGTCTAGCATTCCAGATTTTACCTCTTGGCAGGGCTCTTGCAAGTAGTAGATGATGAAAGTTTAAGGAAAAGATAGTTTACAAAGATGCAGGCAGACTGGACATGTTGGCTCACATCTGAATCCCAGCACTCTGGGAGGCTGAAGTGTGGGGATCTCTTGAGGCCAGAAGTTCAAGACCAGACTGGGCAACATAGACCCCATCTTTACAAAAAATAAAACATTTTTTAAAAATAAATTTTAAAATAAAATAGCTAGGTGTGGTGGTGTGTATCTGTAGTCCCAGCTACTTGGGAGGCTAAGGTAGGAATATTGCTTGAGCCCAGGAGGTTGAGACTGCAGTGAGCTATGATTGTACCACTACACTCCAGCCTGGGTGACAGAGTAAGACACTATCTCAAAAACAAAACAAAACAAAACCAAAAAAAAAAAGACAAACAACAAAAAGATGTAGGCAAAATTAAAGGAAGGCAGCAAAGTGTGATGAAGCATCCTAGAGCTAGCAGCAGCAGAAAACTGTTGCCACACCTAACTCTGAAGAGACAAAGAGAAGGATTATATCAGAACCCAGCAAGACCAATTACTGAAGCATAGGGCTACCAGCCAGAAGCGGTGGCCTTTAGTAGAGAAATGCTGTTACTGGTTCCAAGCTATGGTGCAGCAGGGAAGAGTATAGGTAATATGAACCCCACTCTCTGATTTCTTCCAGTAGTTCCCACTGGCCAAATCCAACTAGTAACCAGAGAGTGAGAATTGCTGCAGTCCATAGAGGTCAGTCTCCTGAGTAGAGAAGAGTGGAGAGTAGATTTGGAAAGGCAAGAGAAAAAAACAATTCCATTGTCATATACTAAATTTTTATAGACTAGAGTCTTCTCTGTTCCACTGATCTGCATTATGTCTAGAAACAGTATATGCCTATACTATTTTAATATTGTAGCTTATTTTAACATAAAGTAAGGTAAAATTTTCAAAATATTATTTGTTAATTATCAACTTTAAAAGAAAAAAGAAATCATATTAGTTAATGGCTTTCTTTTTTTGTTTTATGATGTAAGATGAGAACTTACTTTTTTTCTAAATTAAGCTTTTAATTTTGAGATAATTGTAGATTCACATGCTGTTGTAAGAAATTATACAGAACAACCCCTTGTATCTTTTACCCATTTTTTCTCCATTGATACCCATTTTTCTCCAATGGAAAATATCAAAATCAGAAAGTTGACATTAATAAAATTAAGATACAGAACATTTTCATTACCCAAGAATCCCTCCTGTTACCTTGTATAGCCATACCCCTTCTCTCCTACCCTCAGCCTCTCCTTAATCCCAGACAACCACTAATCTGTTTTTCCATTTCTATAATTTTGTTATTTCAAGAATATTATATAAGTGAAATAATATAATATGTAATATTTTGTGATTGGCTTTTTTTTTAACTCATCATGTCTCTGGAGCATCATCCAGGTTGTTGCATGTATTAATAATTTGTTCTTTTTATTACTGAGTAGTATTCCATGGTTTAGATGTACTAGAGTTTTGCCTGTTAAAGAACATCTGGGCTTTCTTCCATTCCTGGCCATTATGAATAAAGCTGCTATAAATATTTGTGTACAGGGTTTTTTTGTTTGCTCGTTTGTTTTTGAGTAGGAGTCTCACTCTGTTGCCCAGGCTGGAGTGCAGTGGCACATGCTCACAGCTACTGCAGCCAAGACCTGCTGGGCTCAGGTGATCCTTCCACCTCAGCCATCCATGTAGCTTGGACCACAGGTGCGCACCACCACACCTGGCTAATTTTTTGATTTATTGTAGAGATGAGTTCTTGTCATGTTGCCAGGCTAATCTCGAATCCCTGGACTCAGGTAATCTTCTCCCCTCAACCTCCCAAAGTGCTGGGATTACAGGTGTAAGCCACCACGCTTAGCCTTGTTTTTTCTTTTTTGCTTGTTTGGTTTTTGTGTTTTGTTTTTTAAGTTTCTCTGGGTTAAATGCCCGGGAGTGCAATTGCTGGGCTATATGGTAGTCACTTGTGCATTTTTTTAAAAGAAGATACCAAATTATTAGCATGCCTGTACCAAAAGTTTACATTTCCACCAGTTATGTATGATTGTTACAGTTTTTCCACATCCTCATAAGCATTTGATATTGTCACTTTTTTGTGTATGTGTGTCAGAGCCTCACTCTGTCACTCAGGCTGCAGTGCAATAGCACGATCATGGCTACCACAGTCTCAAGCAATCCTTCCACCTCAGCCTTCCAAGTAGCTGGAACTACAAGCGTGTGCCACCACACCTGGCTAATTTTTTGATTTATTGACAATGTCTCCCCAAGTTGCCCAGGCAAATCTCTGGGCTCAGGCAATCCTCTCACTTCGACCTCCAAAGTGCCGGGATTGCAGGCATGAGCCACCATGATCGGCTTGTCACCTTTTTTTAAAGGCACAGTTTTCATCTGTTGCCTAGGCTGGAGTACAGTGGTATGATAATAGTTCACTGTAGCCTCAAACTCTTGAGCTCCAGTGATCCTCTTGCCTCAGCCTCCCAATTAGCTAGGACTTCAGGCCAGCACCACCATATCTGGCCAATTTTTTTTTTTTTTTGTATAGACAGATCTCCCTATGTTGCCCAGGTTGGTTTCAAACTCTTGGTCTCAAGCAATCCTCTTGTCTCAACCTCTCAAAGTGCTGGGATTACAGGTGTGAGACTCCATACGTGGCCACTATTTTTTATTTTTGCCATTCTAATAGTTAAGTTATGATATTTATTTTCTCTTCTCTTTTCTTTTCCTTCCCTTTCTCCCTTCTTTTTGCTCATTCCTTCCTTCTTTCCTTTCTGTGGGTTTTTTCATTTTCTTCATAGTATCTTTTGAAACACAAAAGTTTTTAATTTTTGATGAAATGTAGTTTCTCTGTTTTTTTCTTTTGTCACTTATGTTTTTGGTATCCTATGTAAGAAGGCTTTGCCCAACCTAAAGTCACAAAGATTTACTTCTATATTTTCTTCTAATACTTACATTTAGGAATAGAATTCTTTGGGGGTTAATTTTTGTATATGGTTTGAGGAAGGAGTCTAACTTTATTCTTATGCATGTGGATATTTAGTTGTCCTACTACTATTTGCTAAAAACATTATTTTTAATAGTTGACTTGTCCTGGCACTCAGAATGATCTTTATAAAATGAACCCTTTTCTTTATCTCTGTGTCCTCCTAATTTCCTTAAAAGCCTCCAGTATAATTAAAATAAGATTTAAAATCCTTAATAGGATTTTTGTGATGTCCCACGTTATCTAGACTCTGCCTGTCTGTCCTCCAACTTCACCTCATGTACTTCTCCTATTTTTTTACTACTCTCCAGCAACATGATCTGCCTCTCTGCTTTTCAGACATGTCAGGCTCATTCCTGTCTCAGAGTTTTTATGCTGGTTAGTCACCCATATGTAATACTATTCTCCTACCCTAATATAGTTTTCTCTCAGATCGTCACATTTCTAGTTTCTCATTATTCCAACCTTGTTAGTGAGGCCCTCCTTGTCCAACTTATTAAAATTAGTCACCCTCCTTTTCCCCAGTCATTTTTTTCTCCCATAATCCTATTTGGTTTGTTTTAACCACGTATCATTATCTGAAATTATTATTTATTTCTTTACCTGATTAACTGTCACCTCCTACTAGAATATAGGTTTATGAGGGCTGGGCTCTTGTATCTCAATATATAAAGCAGTACCTGACACATAGTAGGTTCTCAGTAAATATTAACTGTTGGAGTGTAGCATGCATGAGAAGAAATGATCATCATAGCAAGGACTTGGCAGTGCTCTTTTTCATCTCTTCCATTGATGAATGCAACTGGTACTCTGGACAACAGTTGGATGGCTTACTATAAGCAAGGCAACTGTATCTTTGTTGCCAGTCTGTCTCTAAGAATATCACTGAAAAGCAGTTTATATATCCAAAGTAGGTCATGTTGGAGACTGGCAAATGACAGTACCAGGCAGTTTAAATTCTTAAGGTGAATGAGGTGATAGCCTAAGGAACTTAAGTCTGAATTCTGAAAAATT